GAACTGCCTTCTGAGAACGGCTTCAGAGTTGAAAATTTTGCCAGATACCCAGAAAAATTTCTTCGTATGCTAGTAACCTTTCAAAGAAGATACATCAAGAACCTTGCTAGCAGGTGGTTGCTTTTGGCATTTGTTATCGCTGGAAAAACGAGTACAGTGAGGGTTTTTTAATTTTTGGTACGCCTAAGAAAGTTGTTTCAAGTTACTTAAACTCATGCATGTTTTCAATATATGTAGTGTTGGGCATGATATCTAACAAGAGATGGATTTGTTTGGAAATAAAGAACACTCACCTCATCATCGTGCTTAAACATATAAAAAATATCATAAGGCAGGCAGGAAAGGAGGTCAATAAGGAACCACGATTTGAAATAATTGCACCTGATTATGGCTGGCTCAATCACTACCTGAAAGTATATATTAGCATATATATTAGCTAAGCGTATTAGCCTAACTACAGTATGCGTAAATTTTGAGCACTCAATCGTTTTACAGTATCGTTCGCAGTAAAAATTGCAATTATAATTGAAATTTCGAACAAAACCGGAATTTTGATGAACTGATGAACCATCTACAACACAGTACATGTTGTTCCTCCCTTTAGCTTTATCCTTTCTTAATTACTTTTACTGACAGATAAAAGTAGTCAAACGAAAAGCGACTCGGCAACCTCCTGGTCGCGGAGATTTTGTTGAGGCACAAGCCCTTTGCACTTTTGTTTTTCCCAGGCTGCTACTTTGATGTTTATTAGACTGCTGAACTAAAAATTTTAACGTCTTTTGAGTTTATTTTTTTGATTTTTCACAGTCATTTCCGTCAGCTTGGGGCTCTGCTAGCTTAATCTATCTCCTAATGTCACTTAGATTTTGTTTTGCCTCTGCAATTTTCCCACGGCTGGTCATTGAAAAAGGAAAAGTTCTAAAAGGAAAAATCTTCGAATTTGCGAATGATTTACTTGTAGCGATCCTACTGTTTGAATAGATTTGTAATTCTACTGAAACCTGATACGTAATAACCAGACATTTAATATTCATTGTCGTGTTATCAATCCCCGTAGGTTCAAAATGTTACTCAAAAATTATTTTTTACATATTAAATGTATGAAATTCAATGTGTAAAGAACAGTTTTCAGAGGAACTCGTAGCTGTACAGTAGCAACAGTAATAAAAGACTTACTTCACCGCCGGGTCCAACAAATGTCGTATGAAAATTTAATAAAATATCGGCAAAAAATATCACATCAACAACTGAGTCCATGAGAGCGACAATGTCAATCGAACCACGTGGCGGATGCTCGCGCGTCTGCAAACTCTTTTCTTTATTAGTTGCCATTAAAAGAAACTGCATAGGGATGAGTCTTACTGCCAAAAAAAAA